GGTATTCAAATAGCTTCATCAGATGATGATGATGATGATGATGATGATCAACAATTTGTTCAACTAGTTTGTGTCAGTGAGAGAGGAGGAAATTGATTGGGAGGAGGAGGAGGCGGAAGAGGAGGTAAACTGGGAGGTAGAAGGTGTTACCAGGTAATAATTTAAGTTTCTTTTATTTTTCTCTTACCAATTATCTAATCAAATTGAATTAAATTTTCTCTACTAATTGAAAATTGCGACTACGAATTATTTTCTTCTTCTTCCAATCTTTTTGATTACTTTGATTGTTACAATTTAACTTCTTAATTCATCTTCACATCAAATCAAATTGGAACAACAAGATTTTCATCATTTTGATTGACTGGTCTCTATATATATATATATATGCTCATAGTCTATGTATCATGTTAATTGTTGGTTTTCAGGTTAATTGATTGGTCCTGTTATTTTCTTATTAATTTAATTAACAATTAAGAGGAGGAAAAAAAAGTTTATACACTTTTTGAGTGATCATTTTTTTCACCGCCAATTAGTTCACCACATGGAGTCACTAGTGTCTCTTTTCGGGGGAAAAATCAATGGAAAAGGGGAAAGGCGGTTAATAGATTAACTTTTTTGTTTATGTAACTAGAATTGATTGTTGATCTAATTTAATTAATTTTATTTTCTCGTCTTTTTTTTACTTAATCTTCACGGTTAATAATTAGGATTATTAGTTAATCTTAACTGTAATCAAATCTCTAATTGATAATCATCACAGAATTTATCAAGCTTTCTCTCTATCTTTTGATAATAAGTTAATTTCTTGACAACTCCAGGAGGGCGAAAGGTAAAAATGTGAGTAATCATCTTCTTCTTGTCTTTATATTTTTCTTTTCTTTTTATTTCTTTTTTTTTCTTCTTTGGGTGAACAGATAAAATAAAAGATGATGATAGAAACAAATTAACATTCCTAGTAAGTAATAATAATAATAATTAAGAGAAAGAAAGAAAAGAAAATGTCATCAATAAAATTCAAAATGGCGAAAATAGAATAAGATGAAAAAAAGAAAAGAACAAAACAAAAAGTAGATTGATAATTGTATCAATGATTCTTTTCCTTTTACTATCTGTTCTATCTTTTTTCTTTCTTTTTCTCTCTTTTATCTTTATTCTTATCATCATCTTCTTCATCTTCATTATCGTTATCTCTCATCATTACCTTTCATCAATAATAATGATGATGATGATTATAATCAACAAGAAAACAACTTGTTGCTTGTTACCTTTCGTTATGGTGACCGGCTAATGATAATTTGCCTATTCATTGTAATATTATCATTATGGGTTAACCATTGGGTGCCCATTGATTGGGTCCCTTAGACTGGACATTCATTACCCTATTCATAACCTAATATATACACAAAAGTCTTGGCTACTTTGTGTTTATCATTAGTTTTGACCATTGGGTGGTCATCGTCAAAATTTTGCATCGAAAATGTCAAAGTAACATTAACATTAATTGATTACCATTTCTCTCTCTCTCTCTCTTTTTAATTATATTTGCAGTTTTTACCAAACCAAATGGGACTCATTGGGACTCGATCAATTTATCAATTGAATCTAAAGACATATGAGAAGCAAATAAGAAAAACAACATTTTGTTAAACCTTATCTAGTCTATTCCTCACCATGGAATCAGTTAATTATTGACCTTTAATTTACTCAACTTTATCATCATCAACGAGTAATCAACAGCATTATTTATGAATAATGAATTGATTGTATACGTCAAAGATAATTGTAAACCGAATGGGCAACAACTACATGGATCACAAGTCTAATGGTGATAATAATTTCAAAAGATGATTTGGTTTCGTTTTATTATAACCATTGTAGGAAAAAGGAAAAAGAAATCAATTTAATCTTAATCAAGATGGAAACATGATCAACAGCAACATGATAAATATTTGTGGATAAAGAAGGAGAAAGTGACAATCTTAATCCAACTCTCTCTCTCTCTCTCCCTCTAATTATTAATTATCCTCTTCTTTAACATCCTATTGACCTAAAAAAGAAGCAAGAAATCAGAGAGTTATAATTATCATCATCAAATCAAATATATTATCCAATTTTGTTACAATTTAACTAATTTCGTGTGTTGGACACACTCAAAAAAAGAAACTACTAGATGACAATAATGATAATATATTGTGATAACCATGATTATAATAATATCTCTTGATATCATTGCCTCTCCATCATCATCATATATTTACCATCAAAGTATTTAAAAGTAATAACTCTAATTAATCAATGATTAATTGAGATGATGATGATTAAAAAAACAAGGTAATTGCTGATATCCTGTTGGGATTTCATTTCATTTACTCTGTTAAATGTTTACAGTTTACCTTTGCAATAACTGACAGGTTATAAAGATCATAAAATGTGTTATAGGAATTAAATCAATTACAGATTATGGTGATTATCATGATGATGATGATGATGATGAGAAAAGGCTAATGTATGGGAAAACCTTGAAAAAAAAGTTCTTAATCATCATCATGAATATTTGATGAATTTCTAGTTAACTTTTCCTATCAGGTTAATGAGCTAAATTGTTAAATTAACTGTTTCTTTTTTTCCCTTAAATTTAACTACTCTCCTTACTAATTATTGACCTTTTAATTGCTTATCCACAACCGATAGTAATTATCTATGTAACTGTTAATTGTTTCCTATCTTGTAAAACATTTTGATTATCATTATTATTATTATTTCAAGTAGGTGACAAAGTGTAACAATTACAATTTTTGCTGTACAATTATTGATCACACCAAATATAACCTTTGATCTTACTGGTTAATTTGGTTGATCAGTTAATTAGTTAATTTCTTATATAATAATTACCTAATCACCTAAAATCAACCAGCAAGTACTTATGTACTTAATTGTAGTTTTAATCACTCGTTCAACAATTTAACCTGCAGGCCTTTGAATTAATATATTTTTTTCTTCTTCTTGTTATAATATAAACATTGATAATCTTTTAATCATTAACAATTAACTAATTACAATCTCACTCACTGTAACTTAAACATCATGTTAACACTTAACCAGTTAAATTGTTGAGAAATCATATTTAATGTATATACAAAGAGCAATTATCTAAATCCACTCATCTTAATCAACACATGTCAATCAAATTAATCAACGTGAAAATATTTAATTGTAACTATTGATCTTTAATCAATTAACTTATGTTAACATTTAAAGTCTTTATTAATTGTTTCAATGAAACAATCAATAATTTAAAGACACTGAATGTTTAATAATATTTACATTAGGTAATAATATAAATCTAATTGTAATTGACAAGTGAAAAAAATTTAATTGCGTTAAGTAAAAAGTTAAGTAGTGATTAATTAATCAATTAATATTGATCAGAGATAATTAATTACAAAACAATCAAGGGTGTTTGTAATCACGATTAAATTGTTAAGGGAAAATTAAAATTTAATTTTTTTTTTCTTCCAATGAGAAAAACCAAATCTAATCTTCTTCATATCTGATTATTGATGATTTACTGATTACTCCAAGATTCAATTTAATTTAATTATCATCGTCATCTTATCGTTATCAACATCATGTTAATCAAATGAAACGAACCAAATTAAATTAACTATTAAAACTTGATTGCTCAGAGAGAGAAAATTAAAAAATTAAAACAGTCACAATGTTATTTAGCCCGGCGGCTTTTAAATTGTTGTTTGCTTTTCTAATCAATTACAACAATCAAAATAAATTATCAATACAAACAAGTTAATCAACCTTGTTTCTTGTTCCTGTATAGTTTAAATGACAACAATTTAAATCATTTCAATCAGAATCAACAGAAAAACAAACTTATGATCAGTTGAAATTAACTATTGGTGAAAAAAAAAGTTTTTCCCTAATTCAGTCAAATGATTTGAACAACAATTAAGTTAATCATGTCGATGAAAGTTAACATTGATTCTAGGAAAATCAAATTGTGGTATTTTGCAAGTAGAAATTAAATTTAAAAAAGTGAATCAGTATCACAACAATTAAGTTTTAATTGTTACCATATGAGAACAGGTCAAGGTTAAACAATTTACTGATCATTAAACTTTCAAATTGTTAGTTTAACAGTAACAATTAACAGAGAGATCAAGTTAATTTAATCTAATGAAAAGATTTATTTCAAAAATCATGATTAGTGGTTAATTGTTGATAGTAAAAGCAAATGATAATAACAATTAATTTAACATCAATCAGCATATAATTGATTTAATCATAATTACGTGATGGAAACAAATATTTAATTGAATCAAATATCAAAGTGTTTCAATTGACAATTAAAAATTTTTTTTTCTTTTCCGCAAAAAAACTCAATTAACTGGTTAATCAATTATTAAATTATGGCTGATTAACTTTCACCCAATCAAAAAGACACATATAAAGTTTTCAAGGTAAATCACAACAACAATTTACCTTTAAATTGTGAAAGAAATCAACTAATTGTGTAAACAATTAAACATCATTTTCTGTCAATTCTGATCAACTTTAATGGTAATTTCAATCTCAAGGTTGATTATCATCTTAATCATAATTAACAACCATAATGTCCTTTGATTGTAACTAATAAATTGTCCTTGATTAAACAAACATAGACATTGAGGTGATGATCATCAACAAAAATAATAGGAAGGTTAATACAACAATTAAGTTTATCTAATTTAAATATTGATTGTTAATCAACTCTAATCATCATTAGTAGTAAAAAAAAAGTCAATGAGACAATTGCGTGATTAACTTTTTCCAGCTCGAAAAATTGAACTTAAAATTAACTTTCTCTTTCTGTGATCAATAATTTAATCAACATTGGAAAAACAAAGACAATCAATATGGTTGGTTAGTTAATTGTTCAATTGATTGTAACTCCAATTAAAATCAATAACAATACAAAGGTTGAAAAGAAATGAGAAAATGAAAACTTAAATAACATTTCCAATCCTCGAAACTAACCAAATATAATCACCGTCCTTAATTGTTGGTTGATTCAGTTGATTATTTCACTTTCACCTAAGCTGTTTGATTGTGAAGTTAAAATTAAACTTATTTATAAATATCTATTCAATTAATCAACTAATCCAATGTAATCTAATTGTAATTGTGACAACGAGAAGGAATTGAAAAAAAAATTTTCAACAACAATTTAGTAAACTTATTTTCATCACCATGAATAAGTTAACAGTTTTGTGTTTTATCCTATTGATTTCAATGGGTAAGTAACAATTAGTTGTTATAAGGTGAATTAGCTTCAAAAATTTGTTAATTGTTGTCCATTTTTTTAAAGGCCAATCGGCTCCTCAAACCGAGTGCACCAAAACTGAGGATGATTTTGATAATTGTGCCACTCATGTAACGGTATTTGGTAATGATGACATGATAATACCAACAAGTGATGAAGAGATGGATAAACATTGCAAGTAAGTTAATTTATCTTTCGAGAGAGAGACAGAAACAATTAATTAGTTAATTAACTATTCCGTTGATCGTAGTAAAAGTTTCGAGGCGGTTCAATGTATTCGTGATTACGTTTCTAAATGTATGTCCAATTTTCCAAAGACCGTTTTTGGTGTTTTCCAATACGATTTCAAACGTGACATGAAAAAACGATGTCACAATAAGGAAGGACGAGCAGGTTCGTAAATTATATTAGTAATAATGTTGATTAATAGAATAATTAACAATCGGAATACCGATAATTAACTTCAGAATTCATGAAACACATGAAGTGCGGCAAAGAGAAAGGTGGATTCAGCCAATTGCACCAATGTATGCGAAATTATGACGCTCAAATGGAATGGATTATTCTAAATGTTCCTAAAGAGAATCGAGTTCTAACCGCTTGTTGTTCCCTCCATTGGGTTCATCACTGTTTCGTTGAGAGGTCAAAGGCCATGTGCGATGCGATAACTGGACCGGAGACTTCGGGTTATTTTGATAAAATGGTTGCAGCAACTGTAAGTCTTGATCGAGTTGAACTTTATCGATGTTGATTGATTGAAATGTTGATTAACATCATTAACTAAATTAGAAACAATTTTATTGATTGTTTATCTCTTTCTTGGTTAATTGTAACAATCAGATTGCTGAAGGCGTTGATTATACTTGCGGTAAACACAAATCATATGAAGATTGTGCTGAACATTTGGATTCTGCAACTTGGAAGACTCTAATTGAGATTGGTGAGGATCCATCAAAGATAAACTTTGTCCCAAGGCATAAATCACCGTTAACAACAGCAATTAAAATGTTTACCGAACTTGATCAAGGATCTTAATCAGTATGATTAAGAAAATCTCATATAAAAACTAATCAAATCAAATAAAATCAAATCTACACACGCAAACAAAATACACATACAACTAACCCCAAATAAACAAACAACCAACAGGATTTAACATTAATCAACATTGATTGACTTCCTCTTAATTGTATTAACAAACTAATATACAATATAACAACAATTAACAAACATGTCAATCAATTTTACTGATCAAGTTAATCCTGTTAATCAAAGATACAACAACAAAATAACAAATCAACTCACACACCCAACGAGACACAATAACATTAATTAATAACCATTTAATTGATAACAATTAGGCAATCATTAAATTAACATGATGTAAATCAATATCTTATTATAATATATATTTAATTGTACAATTTAATTTGGAACCTTAAATAATTAATTTAATCAAATTTGACCGATTGAGAGTAAATAAAAGTTACTTTTAACAAATACAATTGTATTATTATTAGTTAGTTGAAACAATTAAAATCTAAATTGCTTGTTAATTGTTTGTAATTGAACAATTTTTATTTTCAAATAAACTCATTCAATCAGTTAATTGTTTATACATGATGGCAAACAAAAAATACTTAATGTTTATTAAGGTTAATTATTGGATATTAGTATTAATCATAATCATCTAATTGGGTCTCATAAAGTTAGACAATTAACTAACTTACAATAATTATAAACGGAATCTAATTTGTTAGCAATTAAACCTTGAATTTAATCACAACGATTAATATAATAAAGATAATGAGATGAAGAGAGTGATAACTAAATTAACAACGAAGTTAATTTAGTTTGAAAATTTTTCGTTTCTATTACAATTTGATTCGTTGGTGATCATATTAATATGATCTTAGTGTTTGTGCTCAGTGATTAGTTGATTATCCTTTTTTAATTATGTCTCGATCACTATTGAAAAGACGTGCTAATGAACCAAGGTAAGGCTTAATTGTTACAATAATCGTTGATAATTAACAAGAAAACTAATCCTTTTGTTGGTGATTAAAATTTCCTCATAGCAAAGAGATTGAGATTTGGTTTGATGAGAAAACATTGTTTCAGGTAAATGTCATTTTCTTTCAGGAAAAATCTGATTATCACAATTAAATTGATTCTGTATTTTAATTGTTCTTTCAGGATAATATTAGGGAGGTGATGGAAAAATTTGATTCCATTGATCCAGAAATTTGGGGCAAAATCGTTTACATGGAAAAGAATCGCCGACTCGCCAAGGCCTATGCTCGAAGTAGTAACGAAACCGATAAGGAATCAATCATACGAATCACCAATTCGGAGATTGCATTTGATGGATTAACCATTGGATTATCTGGATTTGTTAATCCCCATCGAGATCAGATTATCCTTCAAGCTTTATCCCACCTTCATCAGGTAAGAGAGAGATTTAATAATATAACTAAATCAATAGAATAACAATTTTCCAATCAATAGTCGAAACTTTTTTGCAAAGTTTTTCGACGAAAAAAAAAATCAACCAAAAGTACAGTTAATTGTGTATTCTTAATTGTTATCAATGAATTGAAGCTGCTTGTTAATTGTTAAAATTGAGTCAGACAATAAAGAGAGATACTAGTTTAATTAACTAAACAATTAGCAACCCTTAGTAACAACAAGTAACAATTAATTTCAATTGTAATTGAATCTATATAAAATATTTTTACCGTTAGTTAATTAAACTCACAACAACAACTAAATTAACTTAATTATAATTTAAAAATAATATTATTAATAGTTGTATTTGAGTAAATTACTTTACACTGATTGTTGTACTTTTCTGTTAATTGTAATTTGATCAATTGTAATCCAATTAGTTTGATCAACAGGTAAAAAAAATAATTTAATGTGAATTAAATTTTGTTTATATGTAAAAAAATTTTCCAATCAATTAGTTAATTACAAATTATTGTGATTTAATTATCCATCAATAGAATTGGTTAATCAAAATCAATGTAAAGCAATTAACTAACCAGGTAATTTAAACCTTAATTGCCAATAAGAAGATAACAATCAACAATTAGTTGATTCTGAGAGGTTGATTAAAAATCAGACAACAATGTGATAATATTAATAACAATTAAGAATGGAAATTAGCTAATTAACTTAATAATAAGTTTGAAAAGATAATTGATTATCACAATTAATCAATGAGTGAGCCCGTTGATTGTTGACTTAATTGTTTGTTCATCTTTTTCAACAGGGAGTTGATATAATCATGGAGGAGAGTGGAAACATAATTGTTCACAATCAAACTGAATCAAGAATCTTTCTGAGAGGTTACAATTTAATTAAGCCTGAAAATAAGCGTTCAGATGGATTGGGAACAATTAAATTGCTTCCTCATCAACGAGAAACTTTATTTGATATAAATTGTTACCTTGATTCAATTGAATCAAAAGTTGGTACAACAATTAACCTTTTAAAAAGTATTGACATAAACAACAACAACAATTTAAATTGTCAACTTGATTTGAATAATAACAACAATGGTAAAGTTAATTGTGATGATGATAATTATGTTTACTCAATCCGACAATCACTTGAATTGGAAACAATTAGTTTAATTTGTTTAGGTCGTGAGAGTTATGATTTAATTGAGACTCCATGTTATTTAATCATAATTAACATCGTCGCTCTTGATATACTGAAAGCTAAGATACCTCAAAGTAAGTTAATTGTTGATTAATTGTTACAATCATTTTCTCAATCATCTTATACATTTGATTGTCTCTATTTCTAGAGTATCAAAGGAAATTAAATCAATCATCAACTAATCAACTTCGTCGTCGTAGTCTTGCTTCTGATGGTCAACGTATTGGTCATCGTCTTCGTCCACTATTAAATTTACCATCTCTCATACGTTCATCATCACCAACAATTAGTAAATCATCATCAAAGGATAACTTATCATTATCATCGTCAACAACAAATTCATCTTCATCAAATGATTGTTTATCAATTAATTTACTTCAACCTCCAAATCAACAGCAACAAATGAATTTTAATTATAACAATCAAAGTAGTATTAAAGTTAATCATCATAATAATTATCAATCATCATCTCTCCGTAACCTTCATTTATCATCAAATGATCATCACCATCAACATAATCCGTATCATAATCAAAGTAATCAATCATTAACAATCAACCAATTGAACAAATTTACTTTAACTAATCAATTACAATCAACTGATCGTAGTCGCTCATGGTCAATATTAACAACAGAAACAAATGTTAACCACAATCAAAATGATCAACTACCATTAATAAGATTACCTGAACCAGATTATGATGATAATAATAATATAATACTAACTAAATCAACTAATCACTCTGACAATCAATTTAATTACCATTCACTGGGACGATCATCTCATATAAACTCAATGGTTAATCAATCCAGTACTAATCACAATCAATATTATTCATCCTCAAACATTAATTCAAGATCTAAATCATTTCAAGATCTGTCATCAGGTAAACTAATTTGATTAATCAAACAAATTAAGTCTAATGATTGATTTGAATTAATTATTTTCTCTCAATTCTTTTCCCCAATTCTAATTACAGAAACTAATACAATCACTAATCAAGCTAATAATTACTGGAAAGAGGATATTATATCATCATCTTCATCATCAAGATCAAAAAATCAATCAAAATTATCAACTAAATTAATAGATAAATTTAAACTTTGGAAAAGTTAATCACAATTAAGGAAACTAACAACAACAACAACAACTACTACAACTTGTAATCAAATCTAAACTACAATTAAATGTAGCATATTAATTTTGAATAATTGATTGTAAATGCTATTCAATCCTTTAGAAAATAGTATTAATCATCTTAATTGTGATTAAATGATGAAGGAGGAAAATGGGCTAATATTTAATAAAAGCAACATTCTGCTGATAAATCAGCCAGAATTTTTCATAACCAATCTATCTGAAGGTATTCATATAATCAGAAATCATCATGAAAAATGAACAAAGAAAAAAGTTGAGTGAAAAATCATTTCAACGGTTCATCGTTAACCATTTTAATTCTGGTTAAAAACTTTCTAATATTACATAAGTTTCATGTTCACATGGAAATCTGATCAACATGAATTAGCAAAGGAAAAATAGATTCACCAAAGTGAAAGAAAAATATTAATATAAATAAACAGAAAATGTAACCTTCCTTGTTTATCTGATTGCTATTCATTTTTATGGACAATTCAACTTGAAAACTGAATCATCATGAAAATTGTCATTCACCATAATGTCTTTCATATCTTTCTCCCTGTTGTATCATGAAATGAATATTCTCATGATGGATCAACTTTTATTCCGATTGTGTGTTAATCTTATTAGCAACATGCATGATTATCACTTGAGTGTCCATCTTTTCAAAGACACACAAACTGACCAATTGATTTCTTGAAATCCTAATCAAATATAATCGTTAGGATTAATACTAAAGGTGAATCAATGATTATTTGAAAAAATCATTATCTTAATCTTGTTAATTGGTAACATGATTATCTTCAAGTCTGATTGCATATGATTATAAATAGACAAAATCCATAACTGATTCACCTTCTAATTAAATCATGTTAATTAATTAGATAAATGAATCAATAGATTTAAGAACTTACGTTGATTAGCAAACTAATCAATGATCAGTATAAGAAAACACCAGGACGATTAGTTGACGTTTTCTTATCGAAATGCTTGTGTGATTATTTTGTTAATAAAACGAAACAATTAACTAATTGTTACACTATTTACAACGATCACTGCAAACCGTTAATTTGAACAATCAATTCAAAATAGCCAATTAATTGATTAAGTTGAAATCGTTTTTTGCTTTGCAATTGATTAGCATCATGTCAAAATCTGAAGGTGACACTTATCTTGACCACAATGTGAAGCTCAAGAAACCAGCAATTTTTTACCGTTATTTTATCTTGTTCATGATTCTAATTACGATGATGGTTGTTTTTTCCGTTCGGTGCACAATTAACGTTGCAATTATCGCAATGGTTGGTAAACCAGTAGAAAACAATGGCACAATCAATGCAACAATTAAGGATTCTAAGGTAAGTTAATGACAATAAGTTAAAAGCAAACAAATCAAATTGATTATTAAAAACTCATATTTCATGTTTTCTCATTAATCTAATTGTTCACGTTACAATTAAAGAAACACTTTGATTGGGATCAAAATGACCAGGGAATTGTATTGGGTGCATATTATTACACTTATGCAACTGTTCAAATATTTGCCGGACTTTTGACCGATAAATTCAATGTTGTCCATCTGATGGCCGGTTCACAAGTCGTGGCCATTATTTGTACCATGTTAACACCTCTTGCAGCTAATATTTCAATGAGCTATTTGGTAGTAATAAGAATGATTTTAGGATTAGTTCATGGGATAACTTTTCCCTCTGTGTATAATTTAATTGAAAATTGGTTCCCACCAGCGGAGACGGGATTAGCTCAAGGGCTAATGGCGGGTGGCTGTGATTTTGGAACAGCTCTCATCTCCTTGTTCACCGCTTGGATAAGTCAACAGAACTTTTTGGGAGGTTGGCCAGCGGCTTTTTACCTTATTGGAATAGTTAATCTCATCTTTACAATTACCTGGATAATTACGGTCACTCGAAATCCATTTGAAAATAAATTCGTATCCGATTATGAGAAGCGATACTTGTCCCAAGTTCTTATTAAAAAACAGGTCAAAAAACGACAGGTAATTGATATTCTCTTTTACAACATGAACGAATTTTCTAACCTTGATTCTTACAATTATCTCTCACCTAATCCTTAACTCGTTAATCCACATTACTTGGTAACATATCAATCGATTGATTTGGATTTTTTTTCTTCTTCTTCTCAATGTCATTATTGTATCTCTTTTTTTTGTCTTTGTAATTTTGTAATCGTTGTGCTGATGATCAGAGATCAACGCCTTGGATTAAGCTTCTTACTTCAATACCCCTCTGGTCGGTTATCTTAACCAAAGGTCTTATTGGATTAGCCTATGCAGTGATTAACAGTAAAATTCCAGTTTACCTTGACTCGGTTCTCGGCTATAAGCTTGAAAACAATGGGCTGATTAACTCATTTTTTTACTTGGCTGTGGGCACATCACAATTGGTTTGTGGTCCAGTTTCAAAATATATCATTACCAAAGGCTGGTTATCAGTAATGATCACCAGAAAACTATTTGAGAGTATTGGTCAGTTAAATCAGTTTTATCAATTTCGATATCAATCAATTCATTATTTTGACCTTCATCTTTTTTTTCCTATTACTTTACAGCTCTCGCTGGGATTATTGCAAGTTTGATTTCGATCTGTTATCTTAAGAATACCGAATTAATTGTTTTCTGTTTGGTGTTGTCAATGTTTTTCTATGGATTCAATTTGGGTGGAGATGTGCCCATTGTACCTGAAATGGCCCCAGGGCTTGTTGGAACTGCGTTCGGTTTCTCAAATGTTTTGGCCTGTGCAGCGGGATTTATCGCACCCGCTTTGATTGGTGCCATTCTTGGTGACGATGTAAGTCAATTTTTGAGAATACGATTGATTTAATCATTTAATCAACTAATTACATTTAATTCACAGGCTGGTTCACGAAGTAAATGGATTCTATCATTTCAAATTGTCGCTGGTTTACAACTCGTCGCACTAATATTGTTCAACTTATTTGCGACCACTGAACCTCAACCTTGGGGAAAAGTTGAAGAGGACGATGAAGAATCAAGTCCAACTGATCAACCACCACCATTAAAATTGGTCGAAACAATTAGCACATAGAATAATTAATCAATTTAACTTTTCTAATTAGCATTTTCAATACAAATTTTAAGATTAAACTAATAAAACAATTACAATTCAAATTGGAATATCAACCGGCCTCGTTAGCAGATCATCTTAATGAAAGTTATCAGATTGGTGATTTTTTCGTCTTCATTGATTAATAGGATTAAATCATCGAATGAGATAATTATGCTCTAAAACAAATATGATTAGTGTTGTTATCAGAACTATTAAACTTTGGCGCTTGAATTAATTAGATAATCTGAGTGATTAAAAATCAATAGATTAGTTCCTAATTACAGTTGATAATAATCGTTAACTCTGAGTGCTGGTGATCTTTTCAATGTCAATCTTGTCAATAATGAAGATTTTCATTGAATGTTCACAATTTTTCATGTTAAAAGTTATAATTTAGTCAATCAGAATCTCAGAATTCATGAGTAATTCCGGATGGTTATTGAATAACATGAGAAAAGTTTTGGCGAAAAATATTTACATGAACTTTTATCTTAACCATGAAGGATATAAATTATGAAATTCTCAATCGACATGAGACAAGAAAATTTGATTAATCAAACAAATTAAGTCTAATGATTGATTTGAATTAATTATTTTCTCTCAATTCTTTTTCCCAATTCTAATTACAGAAACTAATACAATCACTAATCAAGCTAATAATTACTGGAAAGAGGATATTATATCATCATCTTCATCATCAAGATCAAAAAATCAATCAAAATTATCAACTAAATTAATAGATAAATTTAAACTTTGGAAAAGTTAATCACAATTAAGGAAACTAACAACAACAACAACAACAACTACAACTTGTAATCAAATCTAAACTACAATTAAATGTAGCATATTAATTTTGAATAATTGATTGTAAATGCTATTCAATCCTTTAGAAAATAGTATTAATCATCTTAATTGTGATTAAATGATGAAGGAGAAAAACGTTAATTGTTGTTAGTTAACAATCAACAGAGAAAAACAGAAAAAAAAACAAATTTCCTCTTTCAAGGTAACTTAATTTACCTTTTCTCTTTCATGGTAATGATAATATACCCAAACAAATATCATGGGAAGTTGATTGTTGATTAACAACATGAAATTATAATTATAATTGTAATCAATCAGTTTATTTTATGTTGTTTTGTTTAAGCTTAATAATCATGATGATTAGAGGATCAGCTCAGAAAAAGTAAATTGATTATAACGTTAATTTAGTTATTCCAATAATGAATATCCAAGGTAATAGATAATCAAGATATTCAAGTAAATAGTTAATAATAAAGAAGCATTTAAATTGTTTGATTGAGTTGAACAATTTAAAACAGCACAATTAGTTGATTTAAAAATAGTAAAATCATTTAATTTTAGTTCAAATGCTCAAAATATAATCAAAATCTCAAGGTAAATGATAATATTGTTGATGATCACATAGAGATTAGTGAATCAAGTTAATTGTTATTCTCATGATTAGTTGATTGGGCTTTGGATTTAAATTGTTAATAATCAATAATTAATAATTGTCCTTCTCTTACCTTTGCAACTATTTTGCCCTTCTTGTTGTAGCAGATAAACTTTCCGGTCATTAAGCCTTTAAAATGGACCAACTGACCATGACCTTTAACACCTCGGATTCCTATTCCGGTTACATAAAATGCTGAGAATCAATTTAATATTGGATTAGTTAATTGTAGCCATTAATTGATTAGTAAATTTACTCACCATTGTCAATTAGATGTTGAGTTTTTGTTGCTCGTACAGTTTTACCTGATATGTGAATATGATTTTTACTGCAACTTGATTGTAGGTAAATTTTTCTGGATCGATGAACTTTAATTGTGTGACATTTTGATTGTTGGGATTGATTTAATTGTTGTAGTTGTTGTTGTTGTTGGTGTTGTTGGTGTTGTTGTTGATTACGGTGTTTCTCATGTCGTCGTCTATGGTGATGTTGACTTGAAGGTGGGTCAAGTTGAGGTGAAAGTTGAGAGTTGATTGGTATTAATCCATTGGATGAATTGAGATACACTGAATTTGATATGTTTTGATCATAATTAATTGGTAATTGATTAGGTTTTACTAATTGTGATGATGATATTGGTGGTGATGACAATTTATTAATTGTTGCTATTAAAGATAAGCTTGATGTTAACTCAATTTCATTATGATAACTATTTTGGTTTGATGATATGTTTGATTTTTTGGGTCTAATTGTTGATTTTTGTTAATTGTTGTTGGATAATAACGGCACAATTTAGGTTTGTTTGTTGTTGAATTAATAATTAAATGTTGATTAGTTGAAGTTAATCGTTGTCTTGTATCAAAAACCATTGGATCTATTGGATTGTTTTCAACTTTTCGTTGGTTAATTAATTTACTTTGTACCTTTAATTAAATCACAATAACAATTAACATCCACAAATTGAATAGGTACACAAATCACATACACACAGACACAATTAGTTGATTGTTAAATAACAATTAAATGTCAATGATGAGTGTTCATTATTAATAATATGGAAACAGAAAAAAAAAATTAAGATTAGTTATTATCCAATTAACATGTATTGTTAATCATTGATTAATTGTTAGAGGAAATTTGATTAAATTGTTACGTGGGGGGTAAAAGTTATGTTAATTGTTGAAAGAAATAAAAAATGACAACCTTTTCAATTGTAATCGTCGTTGATGATAATTGTTTACCTTTTCTAACAATAAACTCAATCAACAGGTAAACATAAAGGTAAATTAAACTGTAAACAGTAAACATTGTTAATCTCATTGTTTTAAATTGCAATTAAAATGATGGAAAAAAAAATTAACTAACTAAAAGTTTCACATTCAACAAACTGTAACCAAATGACCACAACATCGTCAATGAATATAAATAGCAAATGGTCAATGGATAAAGAGAGAGAGAGAGACAACTAATTAAATGAAAGTTAATTTGTGATGATAAATAATCACAATCTAATTGAAAGTAACAATTTAAAAATGTATAACCATCAATGGGCTTGGCTTTAAGATAACAAGGTAAGGGAAACAAAATGATTGCGATAATTGTAACAACTAAGATGTTGATGATGGTCAAGAAATGAAAAGTGATGAGGATGGAGAGAGAGAGAGAGAAGATGAAGGGAGAGGGGGAAATGGGGGGAAAGTATGTGTGTGATGGTCAGTTTACTTACCAATTGACAGTATGAAAGGTAAATGATACAGAGGATGATAACAATTCGCTGTATAATTAACCTGGTTGGACATGAACGGAATGAGATGAAATCACTGGGATGATAAGAAATTGTCATTGACATGACTCAAGTTTTCACTTTTTTCCCTCTGATCGAGATCTTTGATCTTCCTCATCATTTTTATCATCTATTTTTTTTTCTCTTTCTTTTCTTTCTTTTTCGTGTTTTTCTTTCTTTTTTCTCTCTTTCTTTCCTTTTACTCTATCTTTCTTTCTTTCTGTATCTCTTACTATTCGCAAATATCCCTTATATTCAAAAATCTAACTTGATATTATATTTCGTCTTCCTTACCTTATATTATCTCTCACTTTCACCTTTTCTGTTGATGATGATGATGATGATAATGATGATGATGGTGATGTAGATCGAGATGTTAATGATGAAGATGAACTTAGGCTTTCAAGGCCTAATACAATAAACTGACCACTTAAGGCCACTTTAGTTGAGAGTAACCTTAACACTTTAGATAAGACCTTGTGTATATTTTGTTGGTCAATGATGATGATTATAAGATAATGATGATGATGATGATTGTGATGATGAAAATCAAGATGAATGATATGTAATAATTGCTTTGTCCACATTCAATTGGTCACTTATTGGTCACAATGTTGTTTTTTGTTTGTTGATTATTCCTTATGATATGAGATTTTGTTTTGTTGTAACATGAAAAAAATTCAATTTCAAGTTACATTTTATCAATGGTCAGTATCAGGGGTTGGTCAATCTTTTTTTGTTACTTCTCTCCCTCTAATAGGTGACAGATGAAGATATTCAGAAACTGATGTGTGAGTATTGATGATGATGAAGATGAGGGTTGGGCAGTGACAATTTCAGCTCAGTAATGAGGAAAGAGTAAGATGAGTGTTGGTCAGTTGTAAGTAAAAAGGATACAATGTACACTGATAGAGGATAAGTGATAAACTGATTGATTGAGAAGCTAATTTAAGCTCATTTGGAAGAGAGAAACTTGTTCTCTCTCTTTCTTATCTTCTTCTCGTCTTCCTCTTTCTCTCTCTCTCTCTTATTTTCTGTCTTCTCCTTTCTCACTCTTACTGTTACTCTCTCTTTCTATTTTTCTTTTTCTCTTCACTTTCATTTATCCAATAATGATGAGAATGATGATGAAAAATATTATTATCATCAATTAATAGTTATTATTGTTTTCTAATGATGATAATATTTATTTCTTTCTCCCTTTCTCTCTCTCTTTCTCTCTCTCTCTCTCCTTTGCTTTCTCTCTATTTGAACATAAACAAGTAAAAAAAATACACAGACAATGGTGATGATGAAGATGATAAGATGAGGATTGATTAGGAAGATGATTACACAGGATAAATGATGATTGTCTTCATAGTGTCGGTTCAACAGTCAGAAGGAAAATGAGACTGAATCTTTTTCATCCTCATCTTCAAGAGAGAGAGAGAGAGAGAAACAAGAGGGAGATTGAGGAAAAGAAAGAGAGGGGAAAGAGGAATAAGGTAAGAGAAGAGAGAGAGAGAGAGGAAGATAAGTAAGACAGGTAAAGGCGGAGTTTCATGTTACTCTCATTTGTTGAGGTGAAAGGACAACGAAGGTGGAGTTATCTCTCGTCGGTGGGATGTTCTGTTTTCTTGTTACCTTGTCTGTGGGTGGGGAAGGTTAAGTTTACCTTTTTGTTCATTTACGTTTTTCGTTTTAAGTTTTTAATCTCAAGATGAGAATCGTAATCATGATTAACTGTTAATCAATTGTCTCTCTCTCTCTCTCTCTCTCTCTCTCTTCTCCTAAGAATCTTCACTTTGATAGAGAAAATTTCATCATGATAATATGGGGAAGAAGAGGAGGTGATGATGATGAATATGATGACTTTTGGTTTTCTTTTTCCAAAGTATTAGAGGAATTTTTTGTTCGAATCTTGTTTTTTATGAGAATTTTTTCCATGTTCATCTTATTAAGAAATTATCACTTATTAGATGAGAGAACTTTTGAATTCTTTGATCAATTACTTTAGATTCTGATTGAAATGAAAGATTAGTAACTAGAAAATTAGATGAAGATAATCAGTTGATTAAGAAAACGATCATGATAATCATCGTAAGTCAACTTGAACCTGAAAATGAGAAGAGAAATGAATTGGAATTGAAATTTTTCCTTCTTATTCTTTGATCTCACTTTCTTAGAATCTGAATCTTAATTTGTTTGTACCATGAAAATGATGCTTAAGATGAGAGAGAGAGAAAGAGAAAGAGAGAGTGACATGATAAATGCTGATGGTTCTATTGGATGACAGGGGAAGGGATAAAGTCACACTTATTGATGATGATAATCTTGAATAAACATTTGTTACTAAAGAGATGAAGATGAAAAAAGTAAAGTGGATCATTGAAATGATGAAAGATTAAGAAGATCAAGAGAGAGAAAAAAAAGAGTGAAAACATTTTCTCTTTCACCTGAGTTTTAATTCAGATAATTTTCTTTTATCAACAAAACCGTAAGTCTCGATTGATCAATAATCGACTGGAAATGGTAAAGATGAAGGTAAATAGAAAAGTAAAAGGTTGAGATGTATCACTCGAAAGGGATGAAGAAGATGAAGAGAAAGAGAAGATGAGGATCACCGAAAGTGAGCAAAGAAAATAGTGTTAAAATGTCGATGGAGAAATTGTAACAATAGAAAAAGATGAAGTAGAAAGAGAAGAAAATATTGAAGTAGCTGTCGATCATCTTCCTTCCTCATCCTCATCCTCATCTTCTTCTTTACCAGTGGGGATTTTGTTTACCAATCTAAAGTTCACCGACCATCGGTAGCCCAGAAAATCACCACCACGATCACAATCACCGCCATCACAGTGACTCCACCGCCAATATAACCAAATAATCACTAGTAAAAGTTGCAAGGTAAAAGGTAAACGGTCAGTAAGTCAGGTAAGTCATAGAAGAGACGAAGACGAAGAAGAGGAAAAAGAGGAAAAAAAGAAATTGACCTTTTCCCCTCTTCTTGAAATGACCACTAGTCTCATTTATCTGACCCATAAGATATTCATCTTGATTACCTGGTTGTTAATTGATCACCACAAGTAAATCAAATTTCAATTAACATTCAACAACTAATATTATCATCGTCCTATTGGTTAATATTTATTTACCAAAGGAAACTCTTGTCATTACCTGTGGACTAGTGGTCAGTGGTCAGTTACTGTATACTCATAGTGTGGGTAAGTGTGAGTGTTTATCTGTCAATATGTTTGTATTTGTGTCAATCAAATGTTACCAACATTTCAAAACATTGAGACTTTGGTTATCCCAATACTTGAGTGTTCAACTAAATTCAATTTAAAATCATTGACAGAAAATTAAATCAACCTGCTGATTTACTTGATTAACTTAATTAATTGTTTTCTTTTTTTGCTACTTTTTTACTTTTCGCAACTAATATTATAGCTTGAACCATAGATCTGGTGGACATCAAGTGGTGGACACACAATCAATTAACCTACTACTGATTGACCTTTCAACTGACCATTAGATGCTCACCAGGAGATGTTATTTATTAATTATTATCATTGTTGACAGTTTTAATTATCATCATCATCATCATCTCATATTGTACTTGGTTCATCATTCACCTTTAATTACTTTTTGTATCTCTCGACAACAATTAACTTGAATGTGATTGTCTATTGATCAAAATGTTTCAAGGTTAAATTAAATACAAGTTGAGTAAACTGATTAATAAGGTTTTTCAATTGCATAGACAAATCTGATTAACTTAATTGTTGATCAGATGATTGAATTGTTTTCAATACCTTTCTCCTTTTAGGGATAATCACCATAGAATTGAGTACAATCAAACCAAGTGATTGTTATCAAAGTTAATTGTCAATGTTTAGGTGATTATCAACAACAACAATTTATTAATAATATTAGTTGATTGACTGAATTTCTTGAATTCCATTTATTGAAAGATAATTGCAATTAACTTTGGCAATAATGATAATTGTAAAACAATCCTCGAGTGTCCTCTTAGCACAATCAATTGATTTTAATCATTAACCACAATTAACTGTTGAAGAAAGCAACGAAGGACCAAAATAATTAGAGACTGATAGATTTTAATTCACTTTTTTTATTTGTTTTTCAACAACAATTAAGTCATAAAATAAATTATTAGTAAAACGGATTCATCATTACGTTTGTATTACAATCTGACCACTAGGTTTTTATATTAATAATTAATTACGATTTGATCTGATTTGTGGTGAAGAGAGAGAGAGAGAGAGAGAGAGAGAGAGAGATTTTCTCACAGTTTAAATTAGACCAATGGTCAGTTTTAACGGTCAAACAGTGAAATTTCAAAGGGAATGTTCAATAACTGGTCTCACACCACAACAACAACGACATTTGATACAATTTAAATATTATAACAATTTATTTAATGTTAACCATTGATTGATTCAATTGATACAATTTAAAACATCATATTTATCATGTTTACTTAATCATAATCATCTTAAAGAGATTGACCACTATCATTATCATCTTCATCTTTTTTTCTCATCTACATCGTTGACCACCACTGATTATCATTCACATTTTCAATATAAATCGAGATCAAGATAATCTTCATCTCTCTCTCTCTCTCTCTCTCTCTCTCTCTCTCTCTCTCTCTCTCTCTCTCTCTCTCTCTCTCTCTCTCTCTCTCTCTCTCTCTCTCTACACACTAATCTCAATCAAATCACCTTAAGATGTTAACCTTTGTTATCTTTGGTCAACAAACTGACCTCCTACCAATAACATGCACACACTGTTACCTTTAATACTCTTGACCATTCAATCAAATATCACAAGTACATTAATAAATAGTCAGAGGGAAAGAGAAACAAAAGAGAGAGAAATATTTTCCCAGGTAAATAATTGATTGAATTTGATGTTGATTTAAATTAATTCTGTTTCTTTAATTGTTTCATCTAATTTTTTTCTCTCTTTTTCCTCTTATTATTGCCCTAATAGTTTATAAAAAGAGAGAGAGAGAGAAAGAAAGAGAGAGAATTGGAAATAAATTGTTACCATTATGTATTTTAATGGTGTTATATCGTTATGATTGTTAACAATTAAATGACCATTTGATTGATCACTTTTACCATGTTCATGATATACTAATTATTATTATACTAATCATTTACTAATCATTAACAGTTGTAACAATTTTCTCTCCCAATTGTTTCCCTTAAATGTAATAGTAAAAAGGTGTAATCAAAGTTAATTGAAAACTAAAAGCTAACTTGAGGCAATTGTAACTATTTCTTTCAATCTCACCAAAGTCTCTAATTGTAATTAGTTAATTACTATGATCAATATTATGATTAAATACTTCGAGCCGATCACCCATATAAACACTCACACTCTCACTCACATACATTCACATCCATAGACACTCACACACTCACACACCTTAACATTTTCATCTTCATTCAATTATCATCTTTATCTTCATCATCCTCCAACTTCATCTTCATCTTCATCTTCATCTTCATCTTCATCACTATTTCTTGTGGTTTCTACACCAAGACAACTAACTATAAATGATGATAGCGATCAAATTGATTAGGATAAAGATGATGAGACTGATGATTATGATGATATTATCTTCCCTTATCTTCATCACTTTAATATTATTATTATATTATAGTTAATAAGATGATGATGAAGATAAGTTTAATTCAAAATCATCATCATCATCATCATTTTCACTCCCTGTTTATATCATGTTGATATGGTCACGAAGTACGTGGTCACTATAATTAACCGAATTTAATTTAATTTAACTTCAACAATAATTAAGGTACAATACCTATGGCTCAGTTTATATCAACAATTAAAACACAAGAAATGAAAAACAAATCAAACCAATACAAAATTTGATTCTAAGATATTAAAATGATTTAATAAAAAATTTAATCGACTTCGGATATCAATTGGATTCTATTTGTTTTAATCATCAACAGATTGATTATTTGCAATTAAGCTCAGCTGTTTCGGATAATAAACAACGCGAAGTGCATTAAATTGGTGTAGTTTGATTTGAGTATCAAGTACATACATGTTTGTATTAATATCTGATGATTGATTGTTGGATGAGAAATAAAATAATTTGGGTTTGATTGTGTAATGATTATCATTCACTTTTAACAATTAAATATGTGTGAAGATATTGAGGTTTGTAATTGACAAATTGTGTATTCGATTGTATGGTTATTGTTGATTTGTGGCTGATTGTAACCATTTATCTTATCATTAGAATACAATTAAGGTGATGATGTGTGTCCATCTCTTCATTGTGAAGAGAAAACTGGACACACAAAGAAGATTAAGACTTTTAGGTGAAAGAATCAAAATTTA